TGAATCACAGTTTGCTTTAAGTTTGCTGTCGTTATCTTGTTTGTGGGGTGGTAGTTGGTGATTTTTGCTGTTGTTTATCAATTTATTTATACTGTGTAGGGTACCGGTGGTGGTTGGTGTTGTTTTCTATCTGTAAGTACCAAGTATAAGGTGATGAAGGTTGGTGTTGTTTGCTGTGTGTAAGTCCCATGTATAAGGTGATGAAGGTTGGAGTTGTTTTCTGTGTGTAAGTACCATGTATATGGTGATGAAGGTTGGTGTTGTTTTCTGTGTGTAAGTATCATGTATAAGGTGATGAAGGTTGGTGCTGTTTTCTGTGTGTAAGTACCATGTATATGGTGATGAAGGTTGGTGTTGTTTTCTGTGTGTAAGTCCCATGTATAAGGTGATGAAGGTTGGTGCTGTTTTCTGTGTGTAAGTACCATGTATATGGTGATGAAGGTTGGTGTTGTTTTCTGTTTGTAAGTACCATGTATAAGGTGATGAAGGGTGGTGTTGTTTGCTGTGTGTGTAAGTACAATGTATAAGGTGATGAAGGGTGGTGTTGTTTGCTGTGTGTGTAAGTACAATGAATAAGGTGATGAAGGTTGGTGTTGTTTGCCGTGTGTGTAAGTACAATGTATAAGGAGATGAAGGTTGGTGTTGTTTTCTGTGTGTAAGTCCCATGTATAAGGTGATGAAGGTTGGAGTTGTTTTCTGTGTGTAAGTACCATGTATATGGTGATGAAGGTTGGTGTTGTTTTCTGTGTGTAAGTCCCATGTATAAGGTGATGAAGGTTGGTGTTTTTTTCTGTGTATAAGTATCATGTATAAGGTGATGAAGGTTGGTGCTGTTTTCTGTGTGTAAGTACCATGTATATGGTGATGAAGGTTGGTGTTGTTTTCTGTGTGTAAGTACAATGTATAAGGTGATGAAGGGTGGGGTTGTTTGCTGTGTGTAAGTACCATGGATAAGGTGATGAAGGTTGGTGTTGTTTTCTGTTTGTAAGTACCATGTATAAGGTGATGAAGCACCATGTATAAGGTGATGAAGGTTGTTTTTGTTTTCTGTGTGTAAGTACCATGGATAAGGTGATGAAGGTTGGTGTTGTTTGCTGTGTGTGTAAGTACAATGAATAAGGTGATGAAGGTTGGTGTTGTTTTCTGTGTGTAAGTACAATGTATAAGGTGATGAAGGTTGGTGCTGTTTTCTGTGTGTAAGTACCATGTATATGGTGATGAAGGTTGGTGTTGTTTTCTGTGTGTAAGTCCCATGTATAAGGTGATGAAGGTTGGTGTTGTTTTCTGTGTGTAAGTCCCATGTATAAGGTGATGAAGGTTGGAGTTGTTTTCTGTGTGTAAGTACCATGGATAAGGTGATGAAGGTTGGTGTTGTTGGCTGTGTGTAAGTACCATGTATAAGGTAATGAAGGTTGGTGTTGTTTTCTGTGTGTAAGTCCCATGTATAAGGTGATGAAGGTTGGTGTTGTTTGCTGTGTGTGTAAGTACAATGTATAAGGTGATGAAGGTTGGTGTTGTTTTCTGTGTGTAAGTACCATGGATAAGGTGATGAAGGTTGGTGTTGTTTTCTGTGTGTAAGTACCATGGATAAGGTGATGAAGGTTGGTGTTGTTTTCTGTGTGTAAGTACCATGAATAAGGGGATGAAGGTTGGTGTTGTTTTCTGTGTGTAAGTACCATGTATAAGGTGATGAAGGTTGGTGTTGTTTGCTGTGTGTATCGTAGTTCGATGTTGGTCGGCATTAATTGTTTTCGGCCTGTATCGTATTTGTAGATCAAATATAGGTAGCAAGTCTAATGGAAAGTAAAGATACTGTGGTAATCAATGGATCCATTAGCTGATATGTTGGTATCGGAGGAAGCTGAGAGGCATGGCGGCTCATGAATCAGTAAAATAGTCATTCCATCAGTTCAGGCATATTGATAAACTTGGTGGGTACCATACATACACACACGGTGGTTCTACAAGCCGAAGATTAATAATAGTCTCACTCATTGAATGTGTGGTAATCTTGGATGGGAAATTATATATCCTAATACTAGTATGTAGACATTGGGCTCACACATATACATAACATTGGCCTAATGTTTGGTGGTCCTCAATGTTTGTAGATGTTTGGTGGTCCTCAATGTTTGTAGATGTTTGGTGGTCCTCAATGTTTGAAGATATTTGGTGAGATACACTGACATTTTGTCCATAGTGTATTTAGATGTTTGGTGGGAGATAGTTAGAGCAAAGAAATATTGGCTCTCCGTATTCCATCCCATTGTTTTCTATTTTTGCATCCTATCTGACCATTTCTGTTTGTTAAGACCCTGTGACTAATGTTTATTAAGACTTGTATTCAGGAGAGGATGTTGCTAGGTTTTGAAAACTTGGTAACAGATCGCTGAATGGGACACCAATGACAGAGATGTACTAGTGTCTTTACAACAGTTGCTTGTAGCTGGGGATTCAGAACATCGGTGCATACAGCTTCACATATACTGTGTGAAGGATGACATACAGCTTCACATATACCGTGTGAAGGATGATTTGTGTCCTTCAGACCGTCCAGAGTTCGGTGGATGGCCACTGTTAGCCATTGTATGCCACATAAACAGATTAGTCTGGGTGACATAAACCTGCATTAAGCACAACTTGCCCGGCAGTGTCTCCACTTCTCGGTTCCATCATGACTGACCTGAAGCCATCTATAGCGACCAGTAATCTCATGATAAGCGGTGCTAGTCTGTCGGAATTACTATGAAACACCTCTTAACACCATAGCTCATAGTGACAGTGACAGGATCAAGTTCCGGAGTTCAGTCTTCAGTTCCTGTTGTCGTCTTCATTTGACTTTCAGCTTGGATCTTGTTCTCTTTATATTGACAATGTGATACGCTTTTATTTTTATTCAAGGTAAAACTACGACCATACATCTGTCAAATCTGTATTAAACAATCATCCAAGGGAATCAAAGGCTTAAAAGTGAAATCTTTCCAGAGATGGTCTTTTGATAAGAGTATTATAATCATATAGTAAACTGTTGTTATTCGAGGGGAAAATGGCTGTCCTTTAAGTAAAAGGATTGCAGGGATTCATCAGAGCTGTGTTTTTGGGAAATGTCGACCCTCGAAGGAAATTTGGAAATTCGTCTCTGACATAAGGACCATTTAGGGCTAAAGTTTGGATGATAATTTAAGCCTATATTTATGTCAACATGGTCATTCTGTCATTCCATTGCTACCTACGCTACAATGAGACAACAAAGCCAATTATTTTGGAATTTTAAACTAAGCAAATGGGGGAAAATTACTGTTATTTTCGATTGGGAATGAGTCCATTAAACAAACTTTTAAAATTACTCTGAAAAACTGGTGGATTGCTTTAAATACGGGTGGTCTTTTGTGCAGATTTGATTGTACATATATAGCAGACCTTGGCTGGGTTGATGACCCAGTACTGTGTCTATGCTGGTGGGGCATTCGTCTATTATTATATAGGTCGTCAGGTTAGAATGCTAAGTTGGCACCTGTAACCGATACTTTCAGTACTGTAATGTGCTTGGCAAATGGATATCATGATCTATAGCTGTGTTTAGATGTTAAATAATGTTATCTTCTCTGGTTAAGACTCAAAAAATGAAGGGGAAAGTGATCATGGATTAGCGTTTAACTGGGTCAATATGTGGCAATGTAACGGAGCTGGTAGAGTGGCCATTTAGAATGTGGTATTGGGCCTGTGTTTGAATCACGATCTGGCTGGTTTCATATAACTGATATATATGTTTTATTAAATTCAATTCATTCACATTAGTACATTTAAGAACTTCTGAATCATTAATAGCCCTTATGGAAATATTCCAAATGCCTTAAAACCATTCGTAGATCTAAATTTGAAGCATCAAAGGTTTATATCATAATTATGTCTAAGGGAGGCCATCCGTTTAAGGTTATTCCTGTATATCTCAGAAACACTGGGGAAATGATGGGCAGTTCGTACTCTGTTTGATGTGGTGGAGTGTGCTAGCTAGGCCACACGATGTGAGCGTGTTGCATGACAGAAGACAATTATCTGGGATGTGGCTGTAAATATTGAGATGTTACTGTCAGGTACGCGGTACAACATCCAAGTTCTCAAGGTCAACACATCACTACACCTGGTAGGTTGCTTTCCACGGACTGAAATAATGAGAGAAAAAACATGTGAGCCCGCTGGAGATTGAACCCACAATCCCGGAGACTTTATTGTCGGTTGCTCTGATGTTAAAGAGAAATTTTCTCTAGCTGAGGTCTGTCAGGCAACTTTGACACATCGTAAAATGTAATTCTTTACACTACTCTCCTTCCTCCAAAGTCTTGCCCTTGAAGACTGCCCTTAAAGACTTCCTTAACCCAGGTTCATTTGACCCCACCCTGACCCCCTCAAGGGTTCTCCACTGCCTTGAATATGGAGAGCCAACTGCACCAGTTAGTATAGGAAGACAGTAGTGTAAATAACATGTGTGTGTTTACTGAGATCAAACTCAATCACCCTGTAACTTTCTGTTCGGACATTCTACTACTGAGCTAAAGAGAAAATCCCTCTAGCTGAAGCTAGTCAGGCGACTTTAATTCTATACACAATGCACATCTTTAAAGTGCTACACATGGTCAATAGGTGGAACAATTGTTTCGTAGGAGGAACCATACTCAGGGTCTATATAAGTAACATTCAACCTGATCAACAGGTCCATAATATAAGTGTAAGGTGTAATGAATTGAATTGCATTAAACTATTTGTCAAAGTCCTTTTCAATTAACCTTTGGTGGAGGAAATGGATCTTTGTTCATATTCAAATGCTGACTCCACAAGAGGCTTTGTTATTGATGATGATGATGATGATGATGATGATTGATTGATGATGATGATGATGATGATAATGATGATGATAAGATGATGATGATGCGCCCGGTCACATTATACTGACAACGATGATGATGCCAAACTGGTTAACCAATACGGTTTTCTTTCCCCAGGTAACTGCCAACATGACAAGGTCTGTGCTGACATTTGTACGCCTATGGACAATGGCTACTTCTGTGGTTGTAAGGAGGGACACGTGCTCAGCACCAATGGTTTCTCCTGTCGCAGTAAGTACAATACACAACCTCCCTTGTATTCTAATTACCACAGAGTTGTCGCCCCATGCCTTTAAGGATGGAGTTCACCTATTTTCATTTGCTCATGCATGCCTTAGCAAAATGTTGCACCTTGTTATCTCGCCATGCTTTTGACAAGGTATTTGACTGGAGTCGTCTCCCCATGCTTCAGAAAGGAAGTTTAATGAGTTATTTCCCTTGCTTGCAAGAATTATTAGCTGTCTCCAAACTTCCTTATTCTTTTAACTGTTCAACCCTGCCTAATTAACCTTGAATAAAGGTCACAGCTACTGACGAACTGCGAAATTCATATTTTCACTTTCAGCGTCCATATTGTCTGTTAAAAACTCTACCAGATCCCAAATACCAAGGATAAATCAAAGTGAGTCATTTCAGGAGAGAGAAGATGTCATACAGTTTACATTAATGTCAAGGAGAAACGTCAGATTTTTTTATTTGTTTTTTGCTCTAAGACATGTCAATGACTAGTCAAATATGCCTATATGTGGGCATCCCAGGAATACATCTCACTGGTCCACAACACTAAATCAAGGGTAGACCACGGCCTAGATTTCCCCGGGGTGGAATATATCAGCTCCTCCGACCTGTTAATGCTTTCATTTGCTGGGAGAACACTTCCATAGTTGCGTTAAAAATTTATAGTTTACTGCCAAAAGCAGAAATTGATTCTTCTAGTCCAAAAAGAAATTGGTCTTTCAATATATGTGTTCGCCATGGAGTTATTTCTGTAAAGGATTCTAGTGATATACATTTCTATTTTTTTCAATCACTTTATTTTCTTTAGTTGTGCAAAAAACTTCTTTGTGAAATTACAAACTTAGCAAGGTTTGGGAGTTCTTTTGGATAATTACAATGTAACTTAAAATGTGAGCCATGTCTGTTGGCTGTGTTAGTCTGTAATAACTGTTAGCTCACAGACCTGGACGGGAATCCAGTTCGGTTGTCTTTTATTCATCCATCGTTAACTTTTTCCTTTAAAGAACTTTGACTACTAATTCAGAACTACTGAAATGATTTATATTAAATTTGATATAGGGGGTCCCAGGAAAAAAGGAAGTTCAACAAGTCTGGTGAATTTTGCATATTGTATGAAAGGTTTATTGCCCCTGTAGGCCTTAGGGCAGATGGACAGGGTCCAATATTTAGAGGTAAAAAGACTTTTTCAAGTCTTGGTAAAGAGATTGAAATCTAATTGGCATTGGCAAAGGGAATTACTGTTGTTAAAATGAAGGAGTGACTTCTTTTTGCATCAGAGAGATGGGACTTCATTAGGGTTTGGTTTTAATTTTGTTTAACGTCCTATTTAGCTAAGGTTATTTAAGGACCTGCCTCCATGTGTGTAGTGTATGCGTGCTTGCGCATGTGTATGCAGGAGACAGGGTATGTTGGTGTGCTTGCTTCATTGTGATAGCGTGGATCTGATGCCAACTTTTATAGTGCTATCTCACTGAAATACTATGTCGAAGGCACCCAGCACAGCATTCCGCCCGGTCACATTATACTGACAACGGATGAATCAGTTGTTGCCATTCCCCTAAATGCTGAACGTTAAGCAGAGAATAACAACTACCATGTTTAAGTACTTTGGTATGTCCCGGCGTTGGGATAGAACCCATTGCCTACCTCACCTGGGCGAGCACTCAACATTAAAGCCATAAGTGAGGTCAGTTGCTAAGCAAGGCGCTAGGAAATAAAAGGTTGTTAAAAGTAGAAAAAAAGATAAAGATCCCAAATATTGCAATGGGTGCAGCAGATATATTTTGGTCGCTTTTGTGTCCCCAAATAAAGGACACCAAAGCAAATCCCCAATTCTGCAGGGGGTTCAAACATTAGTCGCCTCCCACGATACATGCAGTGGGTAACAGCTGGCAGATTCTTTTCCCGATCCCCCACCTGCAGGGGTGACTTCATAAGGGAAAATGGGGTGGATGGCTATTTTACTTTCTGTTTTAGAATCTTCAGAAACCCCAGACCAGGATGATTAACAGAGGTTCTGTGTAAGACCTTGTTGGACTATGTAGAGGACAGTCCTCCACAACATATTATCAAAAAAACAATAAATATGTTTGATTCCAGGTTGATGGGATTTGATGTTTTAGGTCAGCTTCGATGGAATTTGATGTTTTAGGTCAGCTTCAATAGAATTTGATGTTTTAGGTCAGCTTCGATGGGATTTGATGTTTTAGGTCAGTTTTGATGGAATTTGATGTTTTAGGTCAGCTTCGATGGGATTTGATGTTTTAGGTCAGCTTCAATAGAATTTGATGTTTTATAATAATATTTAATAATTTGAGGTTCTTATATACCGCTTATCACAACCTAGTTCGTAGGTCGTCTCAAAGTTGTTCACAAATATTATCCGTGGTTATAGGGCCTTTGCAACCAGCCAATATCTTTCTCAACTCCCTGGGGAGCATACAGCCGGAGCTGCCATTTCGGCACTAACAGCTAGCATTCAACAATTCTAGCACTGCCCAAAAACATACTCATTTACAGCTGAGTAGACTGGAACAAGCGGAGTAAAGTATCTTGCTCAAAGATTCAACACAGTGCCGTGCCATGACTCAAACACGCAACCATTCGGTCACGAGCCCAGCGTCCTACCACTAGACTACCGTGCCTCCTTTTAGATCAGCTTCGATGGAATTTGATGTTTTAGATCAGCTTCACAATATTTTTTACTAGCTACTCGCTGTAAAAAAACAAAGAGAACCAAATTATGTTCCACAATGAATAATGTGAGATTTTATTTGAGCTTTTACTTATTCACCCCTAGAGACACATTTTAACACTTCCAAATCAAATGTTTGAATAGTTCAATATAAAATTTCAGAGTTGAATGAGTAAATAGTGTGACAGGAAACCTAATTTTAACAATGCATTTATGATCTGTATAACAATAGAATCGTATACAAGCTGGGATACAAATATGGTTTTAATAGCAAAGCATATAATTACCACTGGTCTGAGAAACCAGCGTGCCACTGTCGCTGCCGAAGGAGAGACACCTAATTTGTACTAACATTTATAATCAATAGATTACCAAAATAGCTGGAATCCTTTAATTGCTAAGCAACAAAATATGATTATAGTGGTTAATATCTTGCAGGTTTTCCTGTTCATATATCTTTTGTGAACATAAGTGGGCCTTGTTGCCGTAATCCCCCATTGTAACCGGCCGGCCCTTGTGTTATTACATTAGGTTGTTTTTATCATATTTGTGACGGTTCCCCCACATTCCCTAACATCATGCCCAGGTTTGATGCTGCATGAGTCATCATCTTTCTCAAATGAGGGCGCTGTTACAGCGTGGGATTAATCTTTGGTCAGGACATCAGGTGGTTGTCGTCCATCAGGTGGGGGTATTTCCCTGAAATCTTCAGTCTGACATAATCTGGTGTAAAAAGCATGTGACAGTCATTCCCTTAAGTTTTGGCTTGACATCAGGCTTCGGTATCACAAACATCTTCTCAAATCTCAAGCTGAAATCTTAAGTTGACGTACGGTCGTTTCTCTGGAAGGTTTAAGTCTGATATCGTGTGGCAAGGATTCTATTAAAGTGTTTGGTACATGTACGTTTCGCATCAGGTAGCCGTTATTCGGCTAAAATAGTTGGTCCGACACATCAAGTAGCGGTCGTTCGTCTAAAATATTTGGTCTGACACATCAGGTAGCGGTCATTCGTCTTAAATATTTGGTCTCGCATCAGGTAGGGGTCATTCGTCTAAAATCTTCGGTCTGACATCATATGGCAGTCATTCTGGTAAAATCTTTGGTCAAACATCTGAGAACTTGGTCTTGTACTGTGTGGCGGTCATCTACTGAAATATTTGGTCTGAAATCAGCCTGCGGTCATAACTCTGCTAAAATATTTGGCCTGGAATATCAGTTGGTTTTTATCAGGCTATTTTAGTGTGAAACAACCAAAAATTAAATTTGACCAAAGAAACTTGCAATAATGTGACATTTTGAGAAATATTGAACACATTTCTGCCATTTTAGCACTATTGTTTGGGCTGTTTGTTTTATGATTGTTTTATTTTCCTATGCCTGAGATGATCAGACAGATGATCAGACGGATGATCAGACCCATTCTGTTGTGGTGGATCGATCCAGAACATTTATAATGTTACCGAGAGTGAAGTACAATGACTGTCATCATCAAATACTATCACAGTGAGAAATTTAGTTCTGTTAATCATGTTATTAAATTTGAACAAACGAAAAGATATCAATTGCCAGTTTTCCCAACAGAATCCAAATATTTCATATCTGATCATAACCGTTCATTCCCAAATTTGGATTTATGGTTGTAAATCATTACTGTATGATTTATTGTTGTAAATCATTGCTGTATAATTTGTTGTTGTAAATCGTTGTAATTCATTGCTGTATGATCATTTATCATTGTAATTCAATGAGGTACGATTTTATTGCTGGGTATCATTGATGTACGATTTTATTGCTGGGAATCATTGATGTACGATTTTATTGTTGTGATTCATTGCCTTATCAAACTACAGATGTCTGTGAGTGACACGATTGATTCTAATTAAGCCATTCCTCCCAGTCTCACTATAATCAACTCATTATGTCATCGATTGAAATCAATTCACTCGGGTTACAGGGCTACAAGATGAACGAGAATGAATGGAACGTTCTATTTATACGTTTGTTCTTCCAGATGATCAATGGGTTACGGTAAACTTTACAATAGTACCTGAAATACGTACAGCAAATATTGGATGATGTAGTCTATAATAACGGTACTACAGTACCATGAAGTTGATGAGCTACGATTGGGAAATCAATTGTAAAGGTGTTACAGTCTGCGACGTTAGGCACTATAGTCCGATGCCCACGACTAGTAAATTTAAGTCTGGACTTAAGTGTAACTTTTTCCACTATAAAAGGGATATATTGCCATTTATACGCATTTTGCACAATGACACAAGTGATCTTATCCTTTT